TCTTGGATGAGCATAACTGATTCCCGATGAGTACTCAGGATCAGCTCATGAGGCACTGAATACTCAGCAATTTGTTCAAAATGAAGATGAGCACATGAACTATACCTTCCTGAGGCTTCATTTTTCAGTGAAGAAGCCTGCCCAGGGGCGTCCCATTTGAGCTGCTCAGCAAATACTCAGTAGCATCCCCTGACTGGATCACTGATGGGCCGGACTTTTCTCAGACTTCCTTGCTCAGGAATGAAGCCTGATAAAAGCGTCATCCCATCTGCTCATTGCTCAGCTAATCCTCAGTGATATCCCCGGATAAAGTTTTTCACACTGAGGGGCTGAGATCAACTGAGCAGCCCCTCAGCCAATACTCAGTGACATCCTTTGGATCCTTCTGATCCGGCCAGGAATGTCCCTGAGGACTAGCTGAGCAGGCCCTCATCCAATGAGCAGTGAAATCCTCTGGATCCTCCTGATCTCAGGGATGCCCCTGAGGAATAACTGAGCAGGCCCTCATCCAATGAGCAGTGAAATCCTCTGGATCCTCCTGATCTCAGGGATGCCCCTGAGGAATAACTGAGCAGCTCAGTTGAACGAGCAGACGGGCCTCAGGCTTCATTCCGGAGCCATGAAGCTTGAGGCAAGCTTGGCGCTCTGTGATCCATCTGGGGGATACTTCAGAGACTTAGCTAAGGGAATACTCAGTTCAGCTCAGCCCCTAAGCTATACATTGGTGGCATCCCTTGAAACTTACTGAACCAGGGAATGCCGCTCAGGATCAGCTGAGCAGATGGATCAGCCCTTCCTCAGACTTCTTTGCTCAGGAATAAATGCTGAGGAAGGCTTAGTTTGTCTGCTCAGTTCCTGATGATCACGTAATCAGCTGACAAACAGAAAGAAAAGGGAAACAAATGGGAAACAAATGGGAAACAAATGGGAAACAAATTGGAAACAAATTGGAAACAAATGGGAAACGAATGGGAACAAAACAGGAAAATTTCAACGCTCACATAGTTGTGAGCATCAATTTTTGCCCCTGTGCTTGCAGGTCCTTGGGATGGTATTGTCAATTTTGATACTGTATCAAGTAAAGTATCAGAAAACCAATACTATACCCAGTAGTTGCTGGAGAAGTATTGGTCAATGATTCTGCCCATTTAGGCTTAAGATACCGAGTACAGTATTGGTATTGCGGCGCAGATACCAATACAGTATTGAGTATAGTAACAGTATCACTTCAAGATACTTTACTTGAGATGGCCGCCAATAGTATCGTGGTTTTTGATACCGTATAGGGTATCAGTATCAGATTGGTGATACTTTACTGAAGTGTTGCAAGATCAGTATTGTGGATTCAATACTTTACTGGGTATTGCCAATACTATACCAGTATAGTAACTGTGGCAGCGTTGCAGGCTCAGCCAATACTCAGTGA